TGAACAAGCAAAAGGCTAACCCACGATAATTACCAGGTGACACTCACTACAACCTACCTACAAGGACGATACTGACAGGCAACGAAACTGCACAAGACTACAAGCTCTATGGCCAGACTGATTCGCTATAAAATAGATGTCTTTTTGAAATCGTAGCCAGTTTAGCACTATTGTTGTCTTAATATCCTAGCATAACGTTTAACACATTGGCTTTTGCTAGACTGATGTTCTTCCCCCCCCATGTTCTCTTCATGCTCCCATCAACCCACTAGTAATACTTTACTAGTTGGCACCCAGGACATGCACCTAGAAGGACGCACTACCCTATAGTTCAGCATGTCCCATTACTATTACCTATATGTTGGCATAACTTAAGTCTGGAAACCTCACTAATTGCACATAGTGTTATGCTGCCTAATAAGCGATACCTGCATCATTTAGGGGGATCGTGCTGGCCTCTTGCTCTATTTAAGCAACCTTAACCTAGACAAGCATTGCTAGCCTTTTTTTTTATTTTTTATTATTACTATCATATGTTTTACTTTATTGAAGTAATGAAAGCATTTGTTTAGGGAGCCCGCTACACACAACAGGAATGCCGTTACATTTTCGCTGTAGCTGGCATAATATTGTTAAGCCTGTACTCCAAAACAAAAATGCGTGATTCTCTATGCCACTGTTTAGCCTGTTTATACACGCGTATACGCTAGACAAGCAGGGTTAGTCAGCTTATTATTCTTATTATTCTTATTATTCTTATCACATATTATAGTTCACTGACACAATGAAAATTTCGGCTAGTGGAGCCCGCTCAACATAAGACAAGAATTATGGTTCCACGTTTCTTAATTTTAGTATCTAATACCGAAACATCAACCAGATTGTATGATCAGCGACCTTTAGCTGTACCATATTCCATTTCTCCTGTACCTAGCATAATTCTGTTAAGCCTTTACTCAAAAACAAAAAATGCACAATTGTCTCTGCCACTGTTTAGCCTATTTATACACACTTGTACGCTGTTGTGGCGTTTGTCAATGTTTTTGTACTCACCTGCGCAACAAAAATAAAGAATTAAAAAAACAAACAAAAAAAAAAACAATCACTGTATAATGTGTCCCCTGCTGTATAGTCCAAAACCACCGCACGATGTCTCTGTGCAACAAATACTGGCGAGATGGCACCGTGTTGAAAAGTCCACACAGTGTCTGTGAGTTAAAATGGCCGCCATCCATTGTTCTCACCATGTGCTTCTGATACAGGAAATGGTGGCCACCCAGTAACTCCACAGTATGTCCCCAGATGGTTCTTAAAAGGGCCAGCAGCAGCACAACACAAATCCATTATGCCCAAATCATGTCTTTAAAGGGCAATACATCCCAGGGGCCATAGTCACATGGCAGGAGGCTGGCAACCAGGCTTCTCCAGTGCATAGTGGCGAGGTTGGTTCCGCCACACTTCTCCCCTTTACCAATCAGACTAACAGGGTATCTGACCTCCTGCCGGTCAGTGCCCTTGTTAGTCCAGCAGCCCACCCACAAAATACAATCAGTAATACAGCCCACCCACAATAACTGGCTACTACACCTGGGTAGGGGAGAACTTTGTCCGTGTCCAGGTGTCTCACCATGGCTGTGTGGGTGACTGGTAAGCGTACTGGGTGGGTTGCTGAGTGGGCAGAGACCAGCAGTACTCTGTCCTGGTGCCAGCACTACCACGGGAGTAGTCTGGTTGGAGCCTGGTTGCTGGAGGGGGAGACAGACTGTCTCCCCTTTGCCTAAACAGTCCTGCTGCTGGGGGACAGGACCGACTGTCCCTACCCCCGGTGGTGCATGTGCAGAGACCACTGTCCCATCTGCACTGTTGTGGAGATTACTGTCTCCCCTTGGTGGGCTAAGTTGCCGCTGGGGAGAGGGGGTAACAAGCTCCTCTCCCATACATACTTTCAGCCGCTGGGGAGAGGGGATAACAAGCTCCTCTCCCTGACACACTCTCTGCTGTTGAAGGGGGAGACCGACTGTCTCCCCTTTCAATAATTTGTCCTGTTGCTGGGGAGAGGTGATAACTGGTTCCTCTCCCTGGAACACTCTCTGCTGTTGGAGAGGGGGACCAACTGTCTCCCCTTTTAATATATTGTCCTGCTGCTGGGGAGCGAGACCGACTGTCTCCGCTTCCTGCAGGACACACTGCCGCTGGGGAGGAAGGACGGCACCTTCAGCTCCCTGGGGTACACACTGCCGCTGGGGAGGAAGGACGACACCTTCAGCTCCCTGGGATACACACTGCAGCTGGGGAGGAAGGACGGCACCTTCAGCTCCCTGGGATACACACTGCCGCTGGGGAGGAAGGACGGCACCTTCAGCTCCCTGGGATACACACTGCCGCTGGGGAGGAAGGACGGTACCTTCAGCTCCCTGGGATACACACTGCCGCTGGGGAGGAAGGACAGCACCTTCTGCTCCCTGGGGTACACACTGCCGCTGGGGAGGAAGGACGACACCTTCAGCTCCCTGGGATACACACTGCCGCTGGGGAGGAAGGACGACACCTTCAGCTCCCTGGGATACACACTGCCGTTGGGGAGGAAGGACGGCACCTTCAGCTCCCTGAGACACACACTGCTGCTGGGGAGGAAGGACGACACCTTTGGCTCCCTGGGACGCACACTGCCGCTGGGGAGGAAGGACGACACCTTTGGCTCCCTGGGACTCACACTGCCGCTGGGGAGGAAGGACGGCACCTTCAGCTCCCTGGGGTACACACTGCCACTGGGGAGGAAGGACGGTACCTTCAGCTCAGTGGGACACACACTGCCGCTGGGGGGGAAGGACGACACCTTCAGCTCCCTGGGATACACACTGCCGCTGGGGAGGAAGGACGGCACCTTCAGCTCCCTGGGACACACACTGCCGCTGGGGAGGAAGGACGACACCTTTGGCTCCCTGGGACACACACTGCCGCTGAGGAGGAAGGACAACACCTTCTGCTCCCTGGGGTACACACTGCCGCTGGGGAGGAAGGACGACACCTTTGGCTCCCTGGGACTCACACTGCCGCTGGGGACCCTCGCAGGACCAGTCTAGGAGGTCCGCTACCTCGGGTACCGCTGGTTGCTGTTGGGAAAAAGGACCGGCTGTCTCTTCCCGGGCCTCATTCATGAGTCGCAGGTAATCCCACTCCAGGTTCCATTCATTGGTGACCAAATACTGTATGTCTGCCTCGAGGTCAATAGCACTAGGGAGCCCCAGCATGTCTTCTCGGTCGTAACACAGGTCCCAAAAACAAGAGTCAGTAGCTTTCCCAAAGTCCTCATCGTCAATATTGTCCCAAAATAGGCCAGGGCCAGCGTAACCTCCGCCTTCTGGGAACTCATACTCTGCCAACTCGGGGACACACTGAGCTGTTGCGCCTGGTATGCGACGTCGAGCGCCAGTTCTGCATATACTAAAATCTCGAGTCTAATCACCCACGCTTCTTCGGTCTTTTTCTTCAAGAGGTGCATCCGCTCTGCCATTCGAGCCAGGATTCGCTGCCTTCTGCTGTGGCGCCGATCCCCTCGCGAATACTGTACTTCCTCTAGGGCTTCGTCCCACAACTCAGCTCTGGCACTCTCTCTGTATCTCAACATGTCTTCCTCTGACACTGCTCCTGACCTCAGGGATACGTAACCGTACAATCTATCTTGCAACTTCTCCTCCATTTTCTGAGTTCCTTCGTAGATAGGGGCGCTGTACGGGTACTGGCGTTGCCCTCAAATTGTAACTCCAAACGAACTGTGTCTCTGAGCTGCTTTACCTCGCACTAGGACGCCATCCCACCGCTTGCCACCAATGTAACGGATCGCCTGGCACCCCGACTGGGTACCTCCGTTAAAGGATGCTCCTAGCGCTTCCTGAGGACTCCAAGCACTGCAGCAGACACCACAACCACCGAACCAGAGAAGCATATGAATCCTCTCAAGCATATGAATGCTGTAGACAGTTGAATAGGAACCATATGAATAGGTTTACTCTCCTAGCAGTCAAACTGGAACAGCATACAATAAATCCTTCCCCCAATAATGAGACGACACTTCACTTTGAGGGTTAAAACAGGAACTCTCTGGACTGGCACATACAGCCTCTTTTATTCCCAATCCACAAACTTAGTACTGCCCACAGGGTTTTACAGAACAACCAATAACACACGTACATTACAGAAAGACACTCCCACACAAAATCCTCCCATCTGCCTGTGATACAATTCCTTACACAATGGGTAATCTAATTATCACAGACAGGGAAATACAGTTTCATAAAACACATCACAGGGCCCCCAAAACATGCAATAACCCCATAAGAAGTATATCCTTGGAACCGGGGGATCTGGGTGAACCACATATCCAAAATTCACCCAGATCCGTTCAGTACTTTGGAAGATACAGTTTAATGCAGATTCTGCAGAACATATACAGGCTAAATAAAAAACAATCACTGTATAATGTGTCCCCTGCTGTATAGTCCAAAACCACCGCACGATGTCTCTGTGCAACAAATACTGGCGAGATGGCACCGTGTTGAAAAGTCCACACAGTGTCTGTGAGTTAAAATGGCCGCCATCCATTGTTCTCACCATGTGCTTCTGATACAGGAAATGGTGGCCACCCAGTAACTCCACAGTATGTCCCCAGATGGTTCTTAAAAGGGCCAGCAGCAGCACAACACAAATCCATTATGCCCAAATCATGTCTTTAAAGGGCAATACATCCCAGTCCATAGTCACATGGCAGGAGGCTGGCAACCAGGCTTCTCCAGTGCATAGTGGCGAGGTTGGTTCCGCCACATATAGGCTTCAGGGCTAAGAATTATTTACAGGGTTGTAGAGCTTTTTCATCAACATATTAGGGATGAACACATAAGATCACAGACTCAAACTAAACCATGGTGAGGTAGCACTATCTTATAAAAACAACCTTATGGTCATGCAATTGGTAGCATCAGAGAGATTTTCTGTGATTTCAGCTAAGTTTTGTTTGCGGTGTGCGGTTCCATACCCCAGCGGTGATGGGTGCGAGCTCCATCATCTGGCTTGGCACTTTTGTCATCACGTTGTACCAGCAACTTCACAGGGTATCCCCACCTATAGGCAAGGTGGTGTGTTCCCAAAGGAAGGATCTTGTGAAGTGGAAATATCAGCAATTTAATTCCATTGTAAGGCTTTGGCAACTCTTTCTATATCCTGATGGATTTGAGCCTTACTTCTTTCGCATGATAGTAGTGCATGTGCACCATAACATCTCCTGGGGTGTCAGGTGGTAGAAATTTCGGCCTTGTCATTCTATGTAAGTGATCCAACAATGAAACTTGTCAATAAATCAGGTGTCAAAATTGTAAGAAGTCCAGTGACATAAACCATTCCAGCTATCCTGCAAATCCAGAGGTTGTTGTGTCTGGCCCGATCCTCCATGTCTGCTAACTTACTTTCATAAGCATCCTTTTGAGACATCAGGTCTTCCACTCTGCTAGCCAAATCATTATGTTCTTCAGCATAGTCAGCCCTCTTGTCTTCCATAGCAGAGGTTCTCATAATTAGATCTTGCAAGTCTCTGCGTAAACACCTGATGGATATTTGCAGGGTAGTGAGTAATTTGGTCGACATGTCATCCAGCATAGTTTGCATAAGCCCTTGGGTAAGAGGGGTATCAGGTGCCAGAGACCCCTGGGCCTAAACAAGGTTGTCGTCAGTGCCATCTTGGCTTGTTTCTTGCGGCGAGACATTCTTTTCATGCCCGGCTCTGGAGGCAAAAAATATTAGATTTTTCAAGGCGCTCCATGGTTTTCTTACTTTTCGATTGCGACCTGATGAGGTTTGTGAGTTTTATCAGTCAATATTGCTCAATTTGGAGCCGATTTGGAGCGGAGCCATTAGAACATGCAGCCACTTTGCTTGGAATCCAGAACATACCCCCAATAAGATTAGTTTTACAATATTCCATATGTTAACAATATAATAACTTGTATTTTTATATTTTTTTCAATTGGCACACTATTATGGAGAAACAGAAATACACAATAGAGAGAAAGAACTTGTAACAAAGGTTTACAAAGTGTTCCAAAAAAATTACAGACCAGAGAGGCTCACGTGCATGAACTCTAGTTCCAGTCACTGGTGGATCCGGGAAGGGGGGGGTAATGGAGCGATTGACTCCACCCCCCCAGGCTCTCCCCTGCCAGTTAACGCAGGGCTGGCACTGTCCAAGCGCCAGCCCTGCAATGTGCCATCGTGGACCGGAGGGGCGATCAGAGCTCTCCCTCCATGGTCCGCAGGCACCGTGCTGGCAGCCGGCAGGGCAGTGAGGGAGAGCGGACCCGGGAGCCCAGCCTTCTGCTTCTCCGGGTCCTTCTCTCGCGAACAAGGAGTGTTGCCGCGGGCTAGAGTTCACTCACTTTCCCGTGGGCTAGAGTTCACTCACTCTCACCACTACAACCACCAGGGATTCCCCACCGGACCACCAGGGATTGAGAAATGTCCCCCCTCCTCCCTCAGTAAAGGTAAGAAGGGAGAGGGGACATAAATGTATTTTTATTTAAAAAAAAAACATTATAAAAAAGCCCCCCTACCCTCCTCACCACACATTATTCACACACTGCACCGCTACACACATTGCCCCCCACACACACATACACTGCCCCCACACACACTGCCCCCATACACACACTGCCCCCATACACTATACATATTCCCACACTGCCCCCCCATACACACATTGCCCCACACACCCTACACATTCATACACTACATCACACACACACAAACTGCACCCCTCACACACACCACTGCTCCTATGCCCTACTACAGCCCCATATCCCAGCAGACCCCAGGTAAGTTGTCAAACTGTTCTTAAACGGTTTGACTACTTACTCTGGGAGGAGGTCCCGGCACTCCTGGCACTATAACCACTACACAGAGCTGTAGTGGTTATTGTGCATGGATTATTTCTTTAAATAATCTACAAGTGCCCCTCCCGAGATCAGGCTCTGGATCTGCCACTGGTTCCAGTCAAATAGAACTAGAGCTCAACTGAAGCTCAACTCAACTTTTCCATAGTAAGTAACCTGAAGATTAAGTAATAGAGGAAGTAGATGCGGAGAAAATGGGACAAAAAGAACAGCAAAGAGGAAGGTTGGGTAAAAGGAAGAGGAGAATAAAGAAGCGAGAGAGAAGAAAACAACAATTTCATATTTATCTTACCTTCAGTTCATCCAGAAGTTTGGAATTTTCAGTCTGCAAAACAGTAACTGTCTTCCTTTCCGTACCAACTGATTGAACTAGATACTCTATCTGATGCTGCAGGGCATTTATGAAGTGGTCTTTTTCAGTCAGTTTGGCCCTCATCTTCTCTACAACATTCTGGAGCTCCTGTATCTTCTCTATATCTGTTTTAGTGTTGTCTAGCTCATGTTTTTTGGCCTCTGCATGAGAACGCGGCTTCTTCAATTTCTCCTTAGTGTGTTTTAACTTTATTTCTTTTTGATCTAAAAGCCTTTTCAAATCTGTAGCTCCCTTTCCTACTGTCTCCAGGCTGATGTTTTTTGCTCGCAGGTCCTGAACAGTCTCGTCCAGGAGCTCTTTTGTTGATGACAGCTGGGAAGAGGTGATTTTCAGATTTTTTTCTTTTTCAATTATAACTGCCTTCTAAAAAAAAAAAAAAGCAAAGTACACAGTTTGTGATTATTAATATCATGACTATAAAGTATGATTTGTAGTGAACTGAAAACCGGCAGAGGAAACTTGGGCAAAAGGTCAGTGGTTTTAGGGGTCATCACCCTGTGTGCAGGTTAGTGAGCTTGGTTTATATGGCATTGAGTGGAGGAAATTAGGGAAGCTGCTATTCCTCACCAGTGCACGGATTTGGGGAAACCCAACATATGTGTTTAAATGATATGCTGCTGCTCTGTCTGTGCTTTGATTAGAGTAATGCTTTGCTATTCTAAATGTTAGTAATGACAGAAGTCATTATTGAGGTCAGGCATATGAGCAGGAAGGACTAATCAGATGGCTGGAAGCAGTTTGCCTATTATTCTAGTTACTAGAACATTTCATGGGTTTTAATGTTCCAAAGGATATTCATTGTTACTCTGATTTATTTCTCTGTGTCATGAAAAAACTCCAAAATATTCCTGTGCATTGATCGCATGTCAAGGATAACGTAATATCAATGCAACCAGTGTTCCTTTTCTACCAGAATCTCTGTCTAATTATATATATAGCTTTGTTCGTCACCTTATTTAGGATCAATCTTTCAGAATGCTCTGGATAAGAACTGTTAAATAAATACATACAGATTATCTAATCAGTTTTTGGTACAGTATCTCACTACATTTTTGTACATATTTTATTATATCTTTTCATGTGACAACACTGAAAAAATGACACTTTGCTACAATGTAATGTAGTAAGTGTACAGCCTGTATAACACTGTAAATTTGCTGTCCCCTCAAAATAACTCAACACACAGCCATTAATGTCTAAACCGTTGGCAACAAAAGTGAGTACACCCCTAAGTGGAAATGTCCAAATTGGGCCCAAAGTGTCAATATTTTGTGTGGCCACCATTATTTTCCAGCACTGCCTTAACCCTCATGGGCATGGAGTTCATCAGAGCTTCACAGATTGCCACTGGAGTCCTCTTCTACTCCTCCATGACAACATCACAGAGCTGGTGGATGTTAGAGACCTTGCGCTCCCCCACCTTCCGTTTGAGGATACCCCTCAATAGGGTTTAGATCTGGAGACATGCTTGGCCAGTCCATCACCTTTACCTTCAGCTTCTTGGAAGTCATCTTGGAGGTGTGTTTGGGGTCATAATCATATCATGTTGGAATACTGCCCTGCAGCCCAGTCTCCGAACGGAGGGGATCATGCTCTGCTTCAGTATGTCACAGTACATGTTGGAATTCATGGTTCCCTCAATGAACTGTAGATCCCCAGTGCCGGCAGCACTCATGCAGCTCCAGACCATGACACTCCCACCACCATGCTTGACTGTAGGCAAGACACACTGTCTTTGCACTCCTCACCTGGTTGCTGCCACACACGCTTGACACCATCTGAACAAAATAAGTTTATCTTGGTCTCACCGGACCACAAGACATGGGTTCAGAAATCCATGCCCTTAGTCTGCTTGTCTTCAGCATCTGTTTGCAGTCTTTCTTGTGCATCATCTTTAGAAGAGACTTCTTTTTATAAGAGGAATCTCTTTTGTGAGATAATGTATATTCTAACCTATGACTCCCACATACCCTATGCCAACTGACCTGTTGCTCGATGTCTTTTCTCAGTAAGTTCATTTCATCTTGGAGTTTCTGGATTTCCATGCTCATCTCTTTATGGATTTTCTCATTGGTCAGATTAATTGTGATTTTTTCACCTTCTAGTTGCTTGTTCAGTTGTTTTTCCAAGCTTAGTTGTTTTCGACAGTCTTGCAACGATTCCTTTATAGAGGATGAGTACAGTTTAAGGAACATGCATTGAGAGTATATATATATATATATATATATATATATATATATATATATATATATATATACACATACATATAATATATATTTCAGATATGTGCATTTGGTTTTGGCCAAATGTTCTAATCACCAAAAATTTCAGTCATTTCGTCTGAATCTAAACACAACTTATATTTAACGAATGACCGAATAAACAGTTTCAGTTCCAAATTTTCATTCGGTTCCATTCGTTAAATTGTTATCAGACACACAATTCTGCAGCCAATGACAGTGGAGCAGTGAGTGTTTTCTCGCCAATACTGTGACTATAATCACTGACCAATCATCATGCAGTGCTAGCAGGTGTTTTTTCAGCCAATCATTTAGCTTACTGCAAAATCAGACCAATCTAAGACCTCCTGTCAGTTTTTCATAATTTCCTGATGATGACTGTGAGACAGTGAATTAGAATCATTGTGTTTATTAGGTTGAGTTCATTCACGTTTTGTTTTGAGAGAGCTAGTAGCTAGTGATAGAGTGAGTGAGAGAGAGACGACTTAGAAGAGATTATCAGAAGTTTTAATTTTTTTTTTTATTCCATTCCTTATCATTTTCACTGAAATTCAGTAACCAAATGAAAACTTTTATCAAGTGGCTGGGCAGTTATGATACTTAAAGGACTAAAAGTGAAATTACAATAAACAGGTAGTGGTATAACTATGGAGATTATAAATTAAAATCATACACTTAACTGATGGAGTTTTTCATTATGTTTCTGGCATTCCTGCGCATGCTTATCATGAGTCTCTGTCAAAGCAGAGTTCAGCGCTGCAAGGTGCACTATGTATTCTTTCCCCTGCAACATCACATATCATTAAAACTATCATTACAATAGCATAATGAACACAATATACTACTCCATAGGGTCTACATGAGAGCAACTTCTAAAAAATGAGTGGGTGTTTTTGCAGTGTCACTTGTAATGAGAAGCTTGTTCTATAAACCCTGCTCAGAGCAGATGAATTAAATGCACTGCTATAGATATATATTAGTTTAAAGGTCCACTATAGTCACCAAAAACAACTTTACTACTCAATTTTCTGTCATTTAGGAGTTACATCACTTTGTTTACGCAGCCCTAGTCACACCTCCTTGCATGTGCCTTACACAGCCTCCCTAAACATTTCCTGTAAAGAGTCATCTAATGATTATACTTCCTTTATTGCACAGTCTGTTTAACTTAGATTTTTTTTTATATCCTACTATGCTAATAGCTTGCTTGTAATTAAAGTTCAATTCACAAGCAGGAAATAAAAAACGTGATTGAAAATTAAACCATTTTTTTCATGCAGGCTGTGTAAGTCACAGCCAATGGAGTTGAGGCTTGAGCAGCATGAACAGAAACAAAAGTGATTTAACCCCTTCAGGACGGAGTCAATAGTGCACGTTCTGATCAAAACAAAACGTAAACAAAAACTGGAATTTGCGCTATATGTCTGTTCAACCGTAATTCACCGCTGTCACATAAAGTGCACCCACATTTATTATATATCATTTTGTTCAGGAGAAACAGGGCTTTAATTTATCATTAACTATTCATATATGGAACATAATTTATTATGAATAAAATTTTAAAAAATTGTGAGAAAATATTTTTTTTAAATTTGTATTTCCGTCTGACATTTTAGCTGTGAATGTCATAATACTGTTAGGTTTTACTGCACAAAAATGCACATATTTGTAATCAGTGATGTCTCATGAGTAAAACAGTACCCCCCCATTAACAGGTTTTATGGTGTTTTGGAAAGTTACAGGGTCAAATACAGAACGTTCCATTTTCAAATTGAAATTTGCCAGATTAGTAATGTTACCTTTGAGACAGTGTGGTAGCCCAGGAATGAGAATTACCCCCATAATGGCATACCATTTGAAAAAGTAGACAACCCAAAGTATTGAACGTGGGGTATGTTTAGTCTTTTTTAGTAGCCACTTAGTCACAAACACTGGCCAAAGTTAGTGTTCATATTTGTTTTTGTGTGACAAAAGCAAAAAACTAATATTTGGCCAGTGTTTGTGACTAAGTGGCTACTTAGAAAGACTGGACATACCCCACTTGCAATACCTTGGGTTGTCTACTTTTGCAAATGGTATGCCATCATGGGGGTAATTCTCATTCCTGGGCTACCATACGCTCTCAAAGGCAACATAACCAATCTGGCAAATTTCAATGTAAAAAAAATGAAATGCAAGCCTTATATGTGACTCTCTAACTTTCCAAAACACCATAAAACCTGTACATGGGGGGTACTGTTATTCTCGGGAGACTTCACTAAACACAAATATTAGTGTTTTAAAACAGTAAAACATATTACAACAATAATATAGTCCATAAAAGTGCCGTTCGTTTGTAAAAAATGCAAAAAACTTCACTTTTACTTAAAATATCATCATTGTAATACAATTTACCAGTTTGAAACACTAATATTTGAGTTCAGCGAAGTCTCCTGAGTAAAACAGTACCCCCTATGTACAGGTTTTATGGTGTCTTGGAGAGTTACAGGGTCAAATATAGTGCTTGCGAATTAAATTCTCTGCACTTTCTCCCTGTGTTGTCAAGCATGTCAATCAAATTTTAATTAATCAAATCACATAATTATGTTAAAAGATTACTTAAATATACATGTAGAATTTTAATATATATGCATTTATAGGTATTTAAATTCTACGTGTATACTAATGTAATCTTTTATGTAATTATATGTATTTATCTATATATATATATATATATATATATATATATATATATTTGCGGTTATTTGTATTTTATATATAGATAGATTTATATAGAATGTCATTCTAAGTGTATTTTGTTACCAATATATATATATATATTAATAACAAAATACAGTTAGAATGAAATTACATATGAACATATAATTTATATTAAATTTTGTTTCAATATTTTATTTTATTTATTTATTATTGTAATTATACGTATATATATATATATATATATATATATAAATATATAGATATATAATATATGTGTATATATCTATTATATATATAATATTTAAACATATATATATGTAACGTCATTCTAAGTGCATTTTAATACTAATATATGTACTTATATTAATATTAAAATACACTACGTATGATGTTACATATATATAAAATGTATATATATATATTATATAAATAATATATATATTTTATATATACATATATACACATAATTTATATTTTAAACATGTTTAATTAATTTATTTTACACTTCCCACCAGCAGGGGGACTGTCTGACATTTCAGACAGTCCCCCTGCTGGCAGATCCACAGCCAGCTATAGGGGGCCATGTGATCACTCTTTGAGAGCAATCACATGGCCCCCAGGGGCCTCATTTGCTGGGGGGAGGGCTGCCTGGGCTGTCAGGCAGCCCTCCAGAAGAAGGCTTTAAAGCCCTTTTAATGCGGGACGGCAGAGAACGCCGTAACGGCGTTAAGGGGTTAACTCTTAAATGGCAGAGAATTGAGCAGTGAGACTGCAGGGGCATGAGCTACGCACCAAAACTGCTTCATTAAGCTAAATTTGTTTTGGTGACTATAGTGTCCCTTTAAGGAAGGTTAGGAGAGGACAGAATCATAATTTGTAATTGTACAACTAGGGAAAAGATAAGCTTTCTCCTGTGATGTCGGTACCTGAGAAAGAGGGTTTACAATACACAGCTTCACAAACAAACAAACTAATAAAGGTTTTGAATTATTAGTGAACAATTGGGTAACTTATATTAGCAGATAGCACCTTTGTTTGCTTCTGTAATTGGTATTGCAAGTGAAAATATATGTCAGTGTATTTTTTTTTTTTTTTTTTTTTTGCAGCCTTGGATTTATATTCACACTATATTAGGTTCCAGAACATATTAAGTAATGTACACTATAGTCACCGCTTGGATATTTTGTTGGGATTTTGCAATTTAGTTTTAAATTTACTACAATTCACTTTTTTAGTGACAAAACCCTTAATATCCACATTATTTTAACATTCTGCTAATAAAAACAATTAATTTCAATGGCCTAAGGAATATATACAGTCAGTTTCAAAATGGTATGCTTCTTTCAGGTTGTGAGATGATGGCAATACATGGCCAACATATTCCACAGCGCTGTACAATTGGGAAAAATACAGTACGATATAATCAGACCAATACAAAAAGTAGAGGGCCCTGCCTATTAGATCTAGGCCTGAAAATCTTTTATACAGATTGTTTTGCTAGATAGCCTGTGAGCTTACAATCTAAATGTATATATTTATACCTTTAGATATAGAAAACAATAAAATAAAATGCATAATTGACATTTGATGGTGTTCTAGGAGTTAGTGAGAAGCATTGCCATAGAAAACTACATTATTCAAGTCAACCTAGTTTCAGATAGTCACCAGACAACATTCTATGTAAAGCCAAATACAATATATGAAGCTATTGTAGGTCTGATAGATAAAAAGAATTGGAAATGTAACAGTAAGGCCTCATTATGCCATACCTCGTTCATGCTGCTTTGTAGCTCCGAATGTAACTGGGACACTGTTAATTCCAAGTAGGCAATTTTCTCCTCACTCTCTGCACGCTGGGACTCTGACTGCTCTCTGAGAGAAAATCATAAACTACTTTTCATCAGAAACTACTCTTACTGTTCATTTTAAATCTAAAATAGATTTTGTCATTAGTAAATGTGATTTTGTCATATTAAAACACTTAATTGACAATAAACTTCTTAAATGAACACTTCAAACTACTCTTAGGGATTAAAAGAGTGTCCTCCCTTTACAATTTACAAAAGTAACAATTTCAAGAGAAATCAAAGGAAATCTGCACTTTTATTAAGTTGCACGCTCCCAGGTGTCAATCGGGCAGCCAGGAGAGTGCTCTATAAGATTGCTATGCCCCAGCACAAAGTAGAACGCTATGCTTCTCTCTGAGAAGTATTGTATTCAATGCTTTATGAAAACCAGTGTATGGCAGCACAGTAATTGCCATGCTTGTGCCCTGCCTCTAAATGCTTCTCTACGAGAAGCATTTTCTTGGATGGACGATCATCAGTACTGATTTTGTCATGGTGGAAAGAGTTGTGGTCAAGGACCATATCACCGCTGGACTAGAAGTAGGTTCCCAAGATATTTAAATTAAATTAATTGGAAAATAATTTAATTACTTTGAAATTTATCAGTTACTTTCTGTACCATCTTACTAATCAACACTTTTATTTTTTTCTTGTAATCTTGGTAATGACTCCTGGTGTCACGGTCTGTGCTATTAAATACCGATGTAAATTCATGAACTCACCTGAAAGTTTCCAGTCGCATCTTGATAGCCTCAAACTCTTTCCAGGCATTGCTTGTTAGCTGATTCAGTACTGTCACGAGCTCATCTTGTTCTTTAACTGCTTTGTCAAATCTAGTACAAAAACTGTGTAAAATCAGAACACTAGAAGAAAATTTCACACAGAGACGGCAGTTAAATCTGTTTTTATAGAATAGTTAAGGGTGTTTCGGACACTGTAATTTTTAGCACAATTTATTAATTCTGTTGGTTTTTTTTCATGTTTCTTTTGCACCCTAACCATTATTTTTGAAGATGTGCCACTTTTATGAATTCAATCTTCCTACCACTTCTGAAATGGAAGTTTTACTAATTTACTATACAAAAAACTTTCACTTTTTAGATCACTAAAATAAAATGATCAAAGCATCTGACACTTGACACTCGACCGCACACTTGCCCGCACGAACACTGGTGAAATCATACGAATGCCTGCTTCTTTCTGCAACAAGCCAGGAGAGCGTAGTTTGGTAGGTTTGTTCGCTCAAGGCGAACAAACGCTACCTATGAGTCAAGGGAACCATTGTTTGTTTTGGAACTCCCGAAATTGACCGACCAAAACTTTACCTCGGTGGCGATACGGCTGTATTCGTGGGATCTGAGAGTTATTTGGACAACATGGGCGCTCAGATCCAGGCTATCCGGGGATATAATATTTGTGGGGGTTCCTCTATGTCTTAAATGTATTTTTATGTCTTATATGTATTTTTAATATTTTATGTTGTTATGTTTAGTCATGCTGACACAGAAAGTCATGGGCGTCTTGTCGGAGTGTTCTGGGCATGTGTTACTGTATCCTTGCTGTGTATATAAGTGGGCCATCTGGCCATAATAAAACCAGTTATTTTATACCTTTCATCAATTCTAGGCTGATGTTTGGGTAGCTCGAAGTTATAATCACTATTTCACTTGGGACTCGGGACATTTACAACGGATATACTCAGTCAGAGTATAGGGGATACGTTACAAGGGGTTAGCGTAAACCATCTATCATGAAGGGGTTAATAGATGTTAGAACAAAAGGCTAAGCTAAACCTGCTGTAAACCATGGCTTCTTTAAAATTGGTGCATTATTCACATATGATAACTCTTAATGGTAATACGTTATGTTTTATCCTAAGCACTCACACTCTAAAAAAAGATATAATAATCTGATTGGTGTTAAATTAATACATCACAATATATTTATCTTTTATAGACTAGTAAATGACTAAAAATTACAATTAAAGTAAACAATTTGTCTTCTATTTTTCAATGTAATACAGTGCTCATGAGTCATACTTACATAATTCAGTGGGAAAATTGATTTGGAAGGTTTGTTTTAAATTGTTTTTTATTATTTCCATCATAAGTAACAGCGTTTCCAGGGGAAAGGAGTACATGCTCAATAAACATTAGAAAAACATATTTTTCCCTCCTTTTTTTCTTTTCTTCAGTTTTTATTTTAAGTGGGAGTCTTCCCTTGCAGGGGAGGTCACAGTAAACCATGCATAGTAAATATACTTATATATTGCATGGAGTAAAGAAAACAAAATCATAACAATACACAGTTGTATTAGGCACATACGGCAAAGGTGATATAGCGGTCAGACAGCGTGAGTCAGCTCAATAAATCTTGAATGGTTGCAGTATAACAGCGGCTAATTAGGCCTAAATAAGTAGGTCAGCATAAAGCTTGGGAGAACCCCCCAACCACGCAATCAGAAGTAGCATTTCAGATTAAGGAAGTATGGCATCATTTCACAACTGACCATTATAGTAATATGCATAAGAAATAAACAAATTGTATAATATTATGCATTGACAAACATAGTATGCTCAGAATCCATAGTGCAGATACAAAACAGTAGTGTTGTGTTGCTTGACAAAACATAACAAAACAGATCCAGATTACTACACCTTTATGGTGTCCGATCCCCAACAAAAAAGGGGTTACAGAAAAAGGAGTAAGGCCTATTGCGTGAAGACCCTCTCTCAGGCGTCTACGGGATTGTCCCCCAATACCCCCAAGGGTTTTGTGTCAGGCACGCTCAGCCAGACATTATAGAAATGTCTAAAATGAAAAAACAAACAAACACTGAACAAGTGTACTGTGAGCATGGGGCCCTCTCAAAATGCTTCAATATGGGAGATGCATCTGTCTCATGTTGCTGGTTTGGTGGATTGGCACAACAGTAGCAACATTAAGGCAAAGAAAGGGCCATCTATGTGTTTTAGGGTAATGGAACTAGGGCTTCCAGAGCTTCAGTTAAGTGTGAGGGAGGCCTTGGACATTTGATAAAGAAAATAAATAAAAAAATAAATTAAATAAAACATTTAAAAAAAAAATAATTAAAAAGGGGGGAGGAGAGGAGGAAGGGGGAGAGGGAAGCGGAGTAAGGGGGAGACAGTGCGGGCCCTCCCCACTGAAAAAAAAACACCCCACAGCAGTAGCACCGGTCTAATTAGCAGGTGGAAAAGGACTTTCCACAGCATTGCAACACAATGTCCTCTAAGGTGCTTCATCTATCCCCCCAGGTCAGGCCTAGCCCACCAACAGGGATCTCCAAGGCACTGTGGGCACTCGGGGGCAAAATCAGTCCACTGGGCACCTCAAACAAGAGTCTGTGAATCGCCTGCCCCTTGCACCTCCCCAGTCCCTCTCGAGCATCTGTTAAGCAGCACAGTCCTCCCCCACAGGGCTCACAGTGTCAGGGACAATCCTCCCTGGGGATCCCTCAAACCCAGAGGTCAGGGCATTCACCTCTCCGGCGGGCAGGTAGCTCAGGGGATTCATCTAGAGGTCAGTATCCTCCAAGGCCATAGGAGCAGCTGAGTTCAGCCCCTCTCTGTAGGTGAGTATTCCGTCCAGCGCTATCTTTTCGTGGGCACAGATAGCCGTTCCATAAACATTTGGGGGTGAGTCTCCCAGAAAGGCAAAGTCCCCATCCACTGTAACCGCCTAGGCAGCGGTTAAATTAAAGCTTGGAATCATGGGCCCGGGATAACCCCCACTGGCCCCGGGGGAGGGGGAGCGGAGCTGGACCCCAGGTATCCAGAAACACCTACGAGCATCATAACAAGCCCCCTCCAGGGAAATAGCTGCCATTCAAAAGTGAGTCGTCCATCTGCATAATTCCAGGGCCTGGCCCCTGAGTAGGCCCGAAACATCGGCACCATCTGCATCACCCTGTGATTGCGACCAAAGTTGGATCAGAAGGTAGCTGGGTGGTTTGCAAAGTAGGTGCTGGTATTTTCTCGCGTCTTGGCAGGCTTGGCATGCAGATTAACAGCCTTTTTAGGGGCCCAATGTAGGGGCCAGCAGAGATGGCCATTGCTCAGCTTGGCGGTCTGGCCCCGCCTCCCATTTTAAAAGGTTTGTAAGGTCTTAAATTCACAATTACAAAACTCTGTTTGGGTTCACTTACACCATAAACATGTTGAATAACCTAGCATGCATTGCTTTGTTTTATGTACTACATTCATACCTTTCTTTATAAAGTGCTAAATGATCCTCTTTCATTTTCAGTTCTTTCTTTAAGGGAATATGCTGGTTTTCTGCCTATTATGATAGAGATAATATGTTTTAGTTGATATTCACTAAATATATTCAAGTCATTCTTGGTATTCAACTTATTCTGTTTACATTACAAGAGTTAACAAACAGCAATATGACAGTGTACCCAAGCACTCTACATTAATTGTCACTTTTGGGGTTCTCTGCACTCCTACGCTTGCATTACATCTTGGCTCATGATGTGGTGGCTGCAGGATGCAATAGAAGTAAGGCATCCTTACCTAAAGATCTATGGAGGATTCTGCACATCTTGCAATGTTTTATACTACACCCCTTGGTTAAGGTATTCAGGGTTTAGAGAATAATTTCATATATTTATATATGTACACACATATTTTTAATCCACATCCACCTACCTCATGCACCAGAGAGCATTAGACCCCTCTACTGACACATAACTAGAAAAGAAAAGACTTCTATATTGGTATTAGAAAAAGCCAACGTCTGATAACATTGGACATCATTTATTGATCCTTTATACTGTAGAAAAAACTACAAACATGTTGACAATTCAGAAACTAACAACAATAAAACACATTGTAGTTTAATAAATGTTCCTGCTTTCTAAACAAGAGACATTACAAATTGTAGATTATGCTAGCTTTAGTGTAACTATAATCTTAATTTTATTAATGACAGGAGGCGAATATGAATAAGTCTCTCTTTACTAGAACTCCACAGCAGCACATTAACATAGAGAGAAAAACACCAATCACAAAAAAGTAAGGAATCCATAAAAGGCTCCTCCTAACCAACTATTTCCTCTTTCACGCTGCAATAAAATAAAGTACATGAGTATCTCATAAGTATTAGATGTGACAAAGTCAGTTTAAGAATCCAGTATAGAACACCACTAATAAAAATAACATAAGAAACAGACATAATAAAACGATGAATGATATGATGAATGCCATCCGAAATTGAAAACATGGAACCAGTGGATGGAATCTTGACCTTTATCCTCAAGAATATCCGGATCTAAGGATTGTAGTCGAACCATTAAACTGAAACGAGATAAACAGAGTCGAAACTGCGATTACTGAATGAAATGTACTGTGAAAACATGACTCCCCCTCATCAAATACTGACAGTACAATATCCCAGATAAAACACCCAACTCCCCTAGGAGCAATATCAGACCTATCTACCCCAGCCCAGGAGACCGGGCGAATAAACAGTAGGCCAGTCAAAACTAACAACAAACAAGGGGAGGGGGAAACTGGGAGGGAAATATTTGCCTCCTGTCATTAATAAAATTAAGATTATAGTTACACTAAAGCTAGTATAATCTACAATTTTATAACATGACAGGAGGCTTCATATTTGCTGTTTTAACGCTCAGACAGCAAAGCCAAAGAACTCGATCCATCATACTAACCTAAGCTTTGCGAAGATAGCTCCTCGGAACCAGCAAGAAAGTGTGCGATG